CAGTGAGCCAATATTGTGCCACTCCACTCCAACCTGGGTGACAGAACAAGACTCTGTCTCAAAAAACAAACAAAGAAAACAAACAACAAACAAAAAACAGAACATAAACTTTTTTTTTTTTTTTTTTTTTGAGACGGAGTCTTGCTTTGTCGCCCAGGCTGGAGTGCAGTGATACCATCTCGGCTCACTGCAAGCTCTGCCTCCTGGGTTCACGCCATTCTCCTGCCTCAGCCTCTGAGTAGCTGGGACTACAGGCAAGCACCACCACGCCTGGCTAATTTTTTGTATTTTTAGTAGAGACGGGGTTTCACCGTGTTAGCCAGGATGGTCTCAATCTCCTGACCTCGTGATCCGCCCGCCTTGGACTCCCAAAGTGCTGGGATTACGGGTGTGAGCCACCGCGCCCGGCAGAACATAAACTAACTTTTAAATCTGAAACTATAATACTTTTAGAAGAAAACATAGGAAAAAAATTTGTGGTTTTGGTTTTGGCAAAGATTTCTTATATCTGACAACTAAAACACAACCTGCTTAAAATTTGATAAATTAGACTTCATCAAAATTTAAAAAATTAATGAAAAGACAATTTACAGATTTGGTGAAAACATTTCCCAAACACAATTCTGATAAGAGTTTATAGCCAGGATATATGAAACACTCTCACAACCAAAATAAAAAGTGGACAAAAGATATGGACACTTCATCAAGAGAATATTTATGGATACCAAATAAGGACATAAAACGATGCTCAATGTAATTAGTCATTATGCAAATGCTGAGATGAGCTATCACTATACAGTTGTTACAACGGCTTTTTTAAAACCTGATAATGACAAGTGTTGGTGAGAATGCAGAGCGACTGCAACTCTTGTACATTATTGATGCAAACACAAAATGGCATGGCTACTATGGAAACAGTTTGGCAGTTTCTCATAAAGTTAAACATATACTTATGACATAACCCAGCAATCCCACTGCTAGATATTTATTCAAGATAAATCACATGAAAATCGGTGGATGAATGTTTATAACAGCATGATTTGTAATTGTCCCATACTGGAAAAACAATTCAAACATTCTTTAAACCATGGTATGTCCATATAATAAAATACTACTCAGCAAGAAAAATGAATGAGTTATAGATAAATGCAAGAACACGAGTGAATTTCAAGTGAATTATGCTAAGTAAAAGAAGCCAGGTCAGGTGTGGTGACTCACTGCTGTAATCCTAGTACTTTGAGAGGTCAAGGCATGAGGATTGCTTGAGCCCAGGAGTTTGAGACCCTGTCTCTATTTTAATAAAAATAAAAATGATTTTTCAAAAAAGAAGCCAGACTCAAAAAGGCTGAATAGTTTGTAATTCCACTTAAATTACTTTATAGAAAAGACAAAGCTATGGAACAGGCAATAGATCAATGGCTGGGGAATAAATTTACTGGGCTGGGGGAGTGAATTTACTACAAGAGGGCCTGGGGAATTTTGAAGAGCAATGGAAGTGTTCTATAGCTTGATTACCCATGGTGGTCACGTGACTATTTCAGTTTGTTAAAACGTATAGAACTATACCCTAAAAAAGGTAAGTTATACTCTAGATAATTATACCTCAATAAAACTGACTTTAAAACAAGAATTTGGGAGAATTAACATCTTCATAATGTTGAGTTTTATAAATTATGAACATGATACATGCTGCTCATTTATTTAGGTCTTAGTTTTCTTATAGTTTTGGTGAGGTTTGATTTTAAATTTATGCTATCCTTGCAAAATAATTGAGGAGTATATCCTCTTTATTTTCTGGTAAAATTTATGCAAGATTGGAATTGCCGTAACTTGTACTTAAACATTTGGTACTGGCAAAGTCATCTAGACCTGAGGTTCTCTAATAGGGAAGTTTTTTTTCTTTTAAAATTACTGATTAAATTCATGGAATGGTTATAGGACTACTTAGTTTTTCTATTTCTATTAGTTTTCTATTTCTTCTTGAGCTTGTTTCAATGAGTTATGTATTTATTCTTAAGAATTTGCCCATTTTGTCCAATTTCATACAATTTTTGGATATATTGATATATTATTTAGTTTTCAATAGATGTGAGACTTTAATTTATGTCATTATGGAACACAATGTTGTTTTGAAGTCTTTGTCAGATCGTCATACAAAATCAGCTGCTTCTTTCTTTTTTTTTTTTTTTTTTTTTTTTTGAGACGGAGTCTCGCTTTGTGGTCCAGGCTGGAGTGCAGTGGCCGGATCTCAGCTCACTGCAAGCTCCGCCTCCCGGGTTTACGCCATTCTCCTGCCTCAGCCTCCTGAGTAGCTGGGACTATAGGCACCCGCCACCTCGCCCGGCTAGTTTTTTGTATTTTTTAGTAGAGACGGGGTTTCACCGTGTTAGCCAGGATGGTCTCGATCTCCTGACCTCGTGATCCGCCTGTCTCGGCCTCCCAAAGTGATGGAATTACAGGCTTGAGCCACCGCGCCCGGCCCAGTTTCTTCTTTCTACCATTTCTTCTTGTGTTTTAAAATGTTAGTTTGCTCATTTTGATTTGGAGGAGTTGAGGTTTTGCTTCATCTGGTTTTATATCGTTTGCTCCCTTTCTGTCCCTGACTAGTCTAGAATCAGGTCTTAAGGTGGTGTTTCTGCAATGCTGTGACATGGAGCACAAAGCAGATATGGTCCTGGAGGCAGAAGGCATCTTGGTGGGGCTCCTCATTTTGAGGTTGTGGCATCAGCCCTTCCCTGCCACCCCCACCACCTGCCTCCTCCATAGGCTGCAGTGTCCCTAAACTATAACTTCAGCACCAAGGCTGCTGGGCTGTTTTCTTGCTCTCTCCCAAGCCTGTATCCTGGCCTGAGCTGGACTCCAGTCCCTACTGCCCTTTGGGACTGCTGAGTGTCCAGATCCTGCCACTCCCAACCTGGAGCCCTGTGGGCTGTGGTGCTCATCCCCTGCTCCTTCTGTTTCTGATTTGTGAGAGGCTTATCTTGTTTTCAGCCCAAGCATATGTTCTGGGCCCCCTTGTTTATGTTGCATTGATGGCTGCCTTGTGCTGGGGCAGTGGGTGTGAGCAGCTGTGCACCTGCAAGTATTTTGATCAGAAATCCCTTTGTTTTGAAATGCAGTTTGCTCCTTGTTGGTCTCAGCCTCTCCAATCCAGAGTAGACAGGTGGCCTCACCTTGATAAGGAAAGGCCTTTAAGAGAGTTTTCTGAGTAACAGAGCAGCTTGCCCTGAAATGAATTCTGCTCCTGCCACCCTGGAATGCAGACACGGCTGTGGGTTTTTAAGCCACGTTTTTCTTTCCACCTCCTAGATTTCTGTACTTACGCATTTCCGCTCATGTGGCATTTCAAGACAGTGGTGCAGGGGAGTGGCCTCTCTCAGGCACAGGGCTTTTTGTAGACCCTTCCCTGACTGCTACTGTCCTCCTGTACCCTCCTTCCCTGCAACCTCCCTCGTCCTTCTAGTTTCAGCCTAAACACGGCTCCCTCAGAGAAGCCCCGAGTAGCCGGGCCCTCTTTATACTCTTTTGCACTCTCTCTTTGCCTTCTAGGCATTCGATGCCCATGTGGGCACCCTGGCCTGTCATCCCGGATGGTGGGGGTCAGACCCACCCTGCAGCCGAACGAAGGACTTGACGTTTCTCTCCCACCTTCCCAGGTCTGCTTCTGTCCTGACACTGCTGCTGTCACAGGGAAAGGACCGGAATAAGACTGACTCTATCCCCTGTCCCCATCGCTGGGCATCTGGCTGCACAGGTCTCCTCGCCCAGTCCGAGGATCGCCTGCATGCCTTCCCTTCGCCCTGTCTCTCTCTGAAGGGAGCGAAGCAGCTCAAATTCAGAATGTGCCCTGTCTCTTTGAGAGGTCCAGTGTGACTTCCTGTTGGAAGATCTTCTAAGTTTATGGAATTTTAGAAACGCTCTGCTAATAAGGCAGAAGGGACTTTTGACCTCCCCTCCCCGCTTCCATCCTGTAACAGGAAACCAGCGATTCCTTTCTGCCCCACCTACCAGAGGGGCAAGAAAACATCCCTGGGAGGAAGGCCATTGCCTTTTGCTCTTCATCTTCTATCTGGAAAGTTCCGTGCCCTCTTCCCTGGGGGGATGAGTAAGACGGCACACAGGGCTTGGGAATTTTTAATAAGGGCCAGAGCTCTGCAGGGATGCTTGATGGGGGGGGGTGCTCGTTTTCGAGGCGGGGAGGCTGGAGGAGAGGCAGATGCTTCCAGGAGTAACTGTCTGGTTACCAGACTGCGAGACCCACGGAGCCCAATCCTCCACCCAGGGAGGGGCGGTAGGGAGAGGCCGTCAATTTAAGAGTTTTATTTACCTTGAACTACTCAGCCAAGCAGACACATTATTTAGGGACTAGAATAAAAAGCCATTCACTTTACTTCAATTGACCATTTAGTTCAATTTGTGTGTTACTGCAGGTAATTACTCCAGTAATAACACGCGGTAATCGGCGCTGATTGGGAGCCGGCCCCGGCTCTGTATTAATACCGCGTGCCATATATACTAATTATCCGTGTGTTACCATGGTTATTTGCACGGACGCCGTGTTAACGACACCCTGGAAACACAAAGCAATAGCGAGTTTTGAATTAAATCTTTGTGTTCTCTTAGAGCGAAAAGTGCATTCCACATAAAATAATCATGAATAAAATGAGATCATCTTGGCGGAGTTGCCAGGAAGCTGATTAACCGAACTGCATAAATGTGACTTTATCCCACTCAAGAATCAGAGCCTCCCAAACGTTGTCGGGGTTGCTAGGCAACCCCCCAAGATGACATCACTCACACAAGCCGCGCTGCCGCGATGTCATCTCTACATATTTATAGCGCCTCCGCGGAGAGGGTGTGCATTATGGAAACGACGTTATTTTTCTCCTGGTTGATGGGTATGAATGGCCGTCAGACCCCCGAGGGCTGTGGAGAAAGAGAATTTGGGAATACCTGTGTGACACTTTCCTGGGGTGTGATAGATGCTTTATTTCCACCAGGTTACCCTAATGGGTCCAAATGAAAAGGCGTGTGTCACAGCTGATGAGCCGTCTGGAGCTTGGTCAGTGGAGGCCGCCGTCTTCCTGCCTGTGCACATCAGCTGCGTGTGTGCCCAGGTCTCCCAGGAGGCAAAAGATTGTCGACGCCCCCACAGCTGAGGGGAGCCTCTGCCCCTGCACTACAACGGGCCCCGGTTCCCTCCTCTCACCCTGAACTCATACCAGAGGAAAAACCAAAGCAGGGACACGTCTGGCTTGTGTGGTGCTGAGCACCCCGTCATGGGAGGTATTCAAGAAGAAGCTGGATGACTAGAGCACAGAGGAAGGGGAGGGTGGGAGGTCGAAGGTTAGGGCTCTGTGTTCGTGTCTAAGTGCCCACCCTGAGCCAGGCTGGACACACAGCTGAGGCCTCTGAGGGTTTGGGACCATGAGGAGTGAGGCTTGCCAGGGGGCATGTGGAGAAGGCCTACCCAGTGCCTGAGGCTGAGGCAGCGCTTCCTACAGGGGCTTGAGAAGGGGCATGGCCGGAGCTTGGGCCTCCTGAGCCAGAGAGGGAGTCAGGATTTGCTTGGGGAGCTGCAGCTCGGTCTTCCCTGAACCCCAGCCTCCTCTGGCTGCAGCATGAAGAGGGGTTGGGGGTGGGGACAAGAATCAAAATGCAGCCAGGGGGAATCTAACGCTGGAGTCAGGATGGCTTCAGAGCAGCTCTCGTCTGCCCTTCAACTTCCCTGTGAGCGGGCTCATTCCCGGCCACCCCCAGCCAAGCTGGCCCTCCAACCCCGCATCACCCTACAGCTATTTCTCTTTATAGACTCCTCTTCCTCACTCCCTGTAGAAACGAATCTGGCATAAAAGAAGTCTCACCAAGGTCTCCAGCGTCCTCTGTGTTGCCAAACCCACTCTCTTCTCGAGCAGCCCTGTACTGCCTTCTTCTGGTGCCTTCTGGGAGCCCCCGCCCCATCAGCCCTTTCTACCTATCCTCCCCACTGGTGCTCTCCACCGATCCTCCCCACCTGTCCTCCCCATCAGTCCTCCCCATCTCTCCTCTCCATCAGTCCTCCCCACCTGTCCTCTCCACTGGTCCTCCCCCAATCCTCCCCACCTGTCCTCCCCAGCTGTCCTCCACCGGTCCTTCCCACCTCTCCTCCCCACAGGTCCTCCCCCCATCCTCCCCACCTGTCCTCCCTACTGGTCCTCCCACTACATAATGGGCCACACCTTCTCAGTCTCTCTCCATGGCTGTTTTCCCTTTTCCCCACCCGGGAGGGCCTGGGTTAAGCCCCATCTACACCCCTCTCACAGGATCCCCCCCAGTCCAGTCCCTTTGTTTTATTTATTTATTTATTTATATTTTTTTGAGACAAAGTCTTGCTCTGTTGCCCCGGCTAGAGTGCAATGTCACAATCTCAGCTCACTGCAACCTCTGCCTCGCAGTTTCAAGTGATTCTCCTGCCTCAGCCTCCCGAGAAGCTGGGATTACAGATGCGTGCTACCATGCTCAACTAATTTTCGTATTTTTAGTAGAGACGAGGTTTCACCATGTTGGCCAGGCTGGTCTCAAACTCCTGACCTCAGGTGATCCGCCCGCCTTGGCCTCCCAAAGTGCTGGGATTACAGGCTTGAAGCCACCGTGCCCGGCCGACAGTCCAGTCCCTTTAAATGCCGTTCCTATGGTGATAGCCCCACATGCATCTACCCAGCTCTGACCTCTCTGACCTCCACCCTGCAATCCTCTGACCTCCACCCTGCGATCCAGATGTTTGTCCGCCCACTCAACACCTCAGCATCTCAACAGCTTACAGGCTGAATCGGACAATTGCCAACAGCTCACAGCAGCACGTCCACGCTGGAAACCTGACTTCCCCTGCCTTCCCATTCCTTCAATAGCCCCCATTCTCCATCTGGCTCTGCCAACCCCATGATACCCTCCTGCCACACTGTGTTCTACCAGGTTCCCTGGGTCCAGCGTGTAGCCCATTCCCACCCCAGGGCCTTTGTACTCACCATTCCCTGCACCTGTAATGCCCACCCTGCACCGAGGTATTCTCGGGGCCACCCCCTCACTGTATTCCGCCTCAGCTCAAGCGTCCCCTCCTCAGGGTCCTGCCCTCCCCCACACCTGCTCCCCACTGTTCTCATTGTCAGTTTCCCTTCCTGGAATTGGAAACTCCACTAAACCAGTGGAGCCCTGAGCATCAAAAGAGGTCTCACCAAGGTCTCCAGTGACCTCTGTGTTGCCAAACCCACTCCATTCTCAAGGGGTACCGTACTGCCTTCTCCTCGTGCTTTCCGGGAGCCGCCCCTCCCCACCCCTGCTGCTGTCCTCCGCACCTGTCTTCCCAATACACCACGGGCCGTATGACGAACAAGATGGTTCAAGGTGAGTTGTTGAATGAGTGAGAAACCGAAGCTGGTGGACACAGGTGAGACACCCAGCGTGGCGTGGGGACATTTGGGGGACAGCGTCATGTTGGGACATTGTCTCCTGAAGCAGGACAAAGACCCTTTGTCCCCAGCCTTGGCGAGATGGTCCGAGTGCTTAGTGACTCAGTGACTTACCTGAGAGTTGTCAGGTCAGGGGGTGGCACTGTCACTGGCACAGGAAAGGAGGACAGCGCAGGGCCTGAGGAGCGGCCTCTGTGTCCATGGAGCCTGTGCTTTCAGCCTGTGGGAAGAGCGGTGCGGAGCCGAGGCGTGGTCAAGAGCTCCTGAGGCTGGGCTGGGTGGCATTCCCTGGGAGATAACTTTCTGAGCTGGGAGTGTGAAGGAGGCACCACAGGGGGTGGGTCCTGGACCCTGGGAGCCTCCAGGGGAAAGGTCCCTGTCTCTGTCCCTGAGCTGAGGCCCAGCTGTCTAGGAGCCTGGGGAGACTGGCCTGCCCAGCACGCTGCCTGGAGGAGGAGCGGTGAGGCTGGCTTCTGGGGCTGGGGGCTCAGCCAAGCCTGCATGATGGCTGCAGAGAATTCCTACTGGTCCCCCTCCAGGAGGGGGCCTCCCGGCATGGGTTTTGAGAAAAACAAGTCTGACTCTGGGACTCAGGCCCAAGATGTCAGGGCTCACGGCCCTGTAAAGCAGGGCGCTTGGGGCTGAGGATTATTGGGGGCGGGGTGCACCAATCAGTTCCTGTCCCCTGGTGACTGTGCCCCTGGCCAGTGACCTGGCCTCCCTGAGCCCTGGAGTAGGGTCTCACTTCAAATGCTGGCCGGCGCCTGCTGCCACTGAGTGCTTTAAGCAGTAGTCAGAGAGGTGGGGGCGGGGCACAGAGACAGCGGAGACCCCCACTCGATGTGTGCCAGGGTGCCCACTGGTGGGCCTAGGTGACGAGGATCCCAGGTTCCCATGGACGAGGGTGGCCATCTCCTGGTGCCCCTGAGCTGCCGGCAGTGGAGACGGTGGATGGCCCCCACACCAGCCTTTCTTCATGAGGCATTTCCAGTCCCTCCTGCCCTCAAGCAAGTTCCAGTGAACACGTGTTGCTTGCTAGGACCTGGATCCCCCAGTGCTAACCCTAACCCTAACCCTAACCCTAACCCTAACCCTAACCCTAACCCCACAGCAAGTCCAGCCCAAGTCCAGCCCAAGTCCAGGGAGCCATCTGAGGCCTAACAGAGTGACTAATTATTAGAGACACTCAAGGAAACCAACCACATCTCCAGATGCCGACTGCAATCCCCAGGATTGCATAAAATAAAAGACATTTACGCACTCGGAGAGGGGCAGCTGTGTGGACTCAGGGTGCAGAACTGCCCATCAAACTTATTGTTTGAGCATCAGTGGGAGAAGACCTTGTCACCAACAGAACCCAGGCTGGGGAGGGAGCTTGTGAGTCCCTGGTACAAACCTCATCTCCAAGAAGCCCTGGGAATGGAGGCTGGTGGCTGGGGTCCCAGGCTGTCCGCTGTGACCATGGCCCTGGTGTGGATGGGCCACGGCCCCCAGGGTCACCCCAGTTGCAGCCTCCGCTGCAGAGGCTCCCTGGCAGCTGGAATGCGCATCCCTAGTGGATTTGGAAACCGAGTCTCGGTGCCCTCCCAGTTTCTTCATCATATCACCCATGAGCACATTGCAATCATCATTCATGGGACCAAAATGCTCTACAGGGGTCAAAGCAGCCCTAGCAAATGCTGACTCTCTGCTTTCCTTTGTCTCCTTTAGACACAGTCAGAATACTCTTTGCCAACTCTCTTCTAAAAACCTGTTTGGGAAATTATTTGGCAAGGAAAGTCTTGGCACACGCTGGGGGACAAGCAGGGCAAAGAGCTCGGAGCCTCCGCTCCCAGGTCTGCAGCAACTGGACAGTTCCTCGGGCCCTGGACCTCCCACACCAGCGTGGCAGGGTCTCTACGCACTAGAGAGGCCCCCGAGGGAGCTCTCCTGGCCACGTCGGAGCCAGTTAGTCCCGCCGGTTGGAGATTTCCAGTCCCCTCCCCGAGTTCTGGCCCATCAGCCTTTCTGCCACAAACCAACCCAACCACGTGGACGGTGTGTGGCCATCAAAGCCGCGGCTCCACGGAGGCCTCCTTCACTGGGGGTGCTCGGGCTGGAGCTGCCTGAACTTGGCAGAGCTAGGCCTGCGGGGCCCTGTGGAAGAGCAGAAGTGAGCCAGAGCCACCACTCAGCGGCCTCCAAGGCTGTAGTGGGTGGGGGGCTGAGACTCGGGTTGGTGGTTGGAGAGAAGTCCAGGCGGTGGAGCTGGGAGCCAGAGGCTCACCCTTCTCCTCAGGAGGAGAGCTTGGGTGGCTTGTGCCGAGAGGTGGGGTGCTGGGGCATTCCCTGAGCTCCATGCCACTGCCTTACTTGCTGTGCCTCACTGAAAACATACCACATCCTCGTGGCATAGGCACCCATTTTACAGATGGGGAAACTGAGGCCCAGAGGTGCCATCACTTACGAGCTGCTCATCAGCAGAGTCTGGCCTCCAGGTCTAAAGCCTCCTCCTGGCCTTTTAGTTGCTGTGGAGACAGAAGGCAGAGGGTAAGACCACAGGGGAGGCCCTAAGAGAGGAGTGACGGCGACTCAGGGCTGGGAGATGGGGCTGCCATTGGAGGCACCCTGGAGTGGGAAGGAGGGATGAGGTCAGAACAGGGAGGGTGTAAGTCTCTCCCACCCTCCCTGCCTCCCTGCACCTGGGGCTTGCTCTTCCCCGCCTCTCCCCAAGAGCTTCACCTAAGTTTTGTACTCCTGCCCTCACTGGCTTCATACCCCAAGTCTGCCTGGCTGGGGTTGTGGAGGAGGCCACATAGCACGGCTACTGTGGGCAGCAATGTCATTGTCCTTCCAGAATCCTTAGAAGCCACAATCCCACTGCCCTCTGGCCTGGCAAGGGTGTGACTGCCCCCAACCTCTGCAAAGGGGATGACATGTCTCTATTGTTGCTGTTGGCACCATGGCAGGAATTGTCAAGGGTGACTCATTCAGGACCAAACGCACAGCCCAGTGGATACTGCCAAGACCCTGCATTCATCTGCTGGTTGCAGGCGGTGGCGTTTAAGACCCACTTTATAAATCATGCCTGTGTGCACATGGGGGATGATTAAAAACCCCACAGGGCTTTGAACAACCGTGAATACATAGGGCAAGGGAGGCTGGTGCCCTTGCAGATTGAATGAGGATGTGCCCTCTGGGGTAGGTGAGGGGCAGTGTTTGCAACTGGAATAGTCTTCAGGGGCTTTCTGTCCTATGACCTTTGTTGAGCACCTACTATGTGTCAGGTATCACGAGAGCCAGTGTGGGGTGGTGTCAAGACCTGGGGTTCAAACTCCAGGGCTGCCTCTAGCTCCCAAGTAATCACACCTAAGTAATTACACCTGTTTGGGCCTAATTTTCCTAATCTGTAACCAGGGAAGACCATCTGATTCACCAGTAGGAGT